AATTTTTTTTTTTTTTTTTTTTTTTTTAAATCTATTCAAATTGACAGAAAAGCAAGTAAACAACACATAAAGAAAGTGAGGATTACGGTATATGGTGAAGAAAGAGGTAGTCCATGAGCACCCAAGCCATGCATATGATTATTTGGTGCAGGCACATTTTGCTGGGACTGAGGTGGGACAGAAGTAAGAGGCCTTGTCTGAACATAAGGCATTTGTATAGGCTGGGATGAAGAAGTGATGTAGGTAGGATGGCCAGGCCTTGGAACTAACTGCGGTATTGATTGAGGATATTGATGTGGCTGGACTTGACCAGCTGGCCCTCCAACATTTGAAGAAGATATATTCTGCCCTGCTAACTGGAACTGTTGGGTAGATGATGAAATGAACGTCTGGCCTGGTTGTGCTGGGATAACTGGCCGAAACTGCAGCAGAAAGATCTTAGACACTCATACCATCTCTATAGACATAAAATAGAACATAGTCTTCACCAAATATCAGTACAAATAAGAAACCAAATAAAACCCTGCATGAATCAGTGAACCAGAATTTCAAAGAACATTCACTGAAACGAACAAAAGTGCCAAATACTAATACACCAAAAAGGAAGGAAAAGGGTCCCAGGAATTTCTAAAAATGTAATAATAACTGAACAAACAAAGTAAATGTCTGAGCTCCAGTAGGTAAGTTTAAGCAATCAAATATATACCAAGTAATTCTATATATAAACACAGACTCATGCACATAAAGAGCTAAAATCAGTGATGTCTAGTAAGAACTAAGAGAGGGTTCTGTTACCTGTCCACCTGAGGACTGAGACAGATTTTCCATTTTAGAGCATAACCAAGTTTCAATCTTTGAGCATTGAAAAACGGTAACTAGAGATCACAATACCAACAGATCAGCTAAGCCAACTTCCAGTTGAAGCCCACCAAAAGCAAGAAACAGAGACCCAACTGCAAACAACATAGAAATATTAAAGAAAGCAGGAAGAGAACTAGAAAATATGTCAGAATTTCGTAAACTGAACGTCTCAAAACGCTATTTATGACGAAAAAACCCGTATGGTTAGGCATGAAAATGAACAACAGTTAGATCACGAAGAAGTGAATAAACAACGGAACATCTTGTCCCATCATCTTTCTTGTTTCCTAATACATTCTCAACCTCCAAATTCGTAGCGGGGATAGAAGAAACAAACCAATCGCATGCAGCATGAGTGAGAATATCACCGCACACTTTCACTCTTAAGATTAACAATCTCCAAGAAATCACAATGTTACCGTATAACGGTAAATTGGCATGACGGAGATTTCAGGACAAGAATGACACAGCGGAAATATAATAGACCGATTCACAAGAGACATCGATTCCTATCGAAGGAGTGATGAAGAATACAATTAGCTCCCCGATGCTTCTGCAACCCGAATCATTTTCTTCCACTAGACGTCACTTCCTTGAGGTAAACCGCGGTGTTCTTTAAGAATATAACCAAATATCAATATTTGTGACGAACCCAGCTCCTCGTTAAACATAGTTTTTCAAATCCATTCCCCTTGCCGGAAATTTTCAATGAAGCTAGATGGAAGATGCAGAATCCAATAAACCAAAGCGCCTAGAGATAAAGAGAGAAATAGATTACTCACAGTTACGGCTGTTGATTGAAGTCGCGGTGGGAAAATTGGTGGCGCCAAACCCAGTAGGTAGCGGGTAAGAAACCGGAGTGGTCGGATCACGAAGCTGTGGGTAAAATCGAGTTTTAGGGTTTAAGCGAGGAAGTGGCAGAGATGGGACTGATTGAGAGTACGGGAGAAGTTGAAAGGGGGGGGGGGAGGGTTATCGGCGGCTAAAAAATTATTTACCGTGTTCCAGAATTAACCCCTTTCGGAATGGACTTTACCAAAATTCGCCCTCGCCGATCTATATATAATGGTCGCTATTTGTCGGAACCACCGTTCGTCGGTCAGGCCTTCTGTAAGCTGTCTTTGACTTTCACCGCGAATTCGTTTTTAAGGTTGAATAATAAATTTTTATTCTTGATTTTTAAATTTGACTACAAATTTACCAATTTAAATGTAATGCCAATAAATATAGAAATTAAACAAACGCATATTTTAAAGGTAGAAAACTATAAACACTCCTATATATCTATTTCCATAAATTGATTTTTAACTTAATCTTGAAAGAAAAAAAAAAAAAAAAACTCCAAACACAATTTAAAAAAAATAAAAAATTATCAAACAAAAAGTAAAAATGAATTTCACATTTGAATATTAAAATATATTGAAAATCATGTCTATACAACCAAACCTTGATGCATCTAAGCCACAAATTATAAACAAGAAGTTGTAATCCTTATTGAATTTTACAAAGGTCTAATTCTATAAATATTAGAAGCTTAAGTTACGCCCTTAAATCCACATGCTTCTTTCGTCTACACGGTTCGTTTGGAAACAGGGGAGCTAATCAAACTGTCATCTCGAACCGCCGTCATGTGCTTACAAGACAAATTACCAAACAAGTTCATCCACCCTCCAAACCCAGTTTTATTCTGCTTCAACTTGCAATTCTTCGCATCCTCTCCATTGCTGCACTCTCTGAACGCCGCAAGAAAAGGGTTTTCAAAGACCCCATCTTTCTGCACCTTCTTCTGGCCCTTTCTCGCCGAAGTACACGGCGGTGCCCGCAGCTGCTTTTGCCCCAGAACGTCGTCGTCCAGGCGGTAAAACGGCGGCGCCACTGCTGCCTTGCACTCCCCTGGCTTATTCTCCCACGAGAAAGCCACTCTGCCTCTCGAATGGGTTCTGTTGTTGCAGCTCATCGCTCACCGTTGATCTGCTTAATTCCCGGTATTTGAAATGAAGACACTTTCATTGTTCGGATTTGGTGGTTTTATAGGTCGAGCCCATTATTGTATTTTTATGTTTTTTTCCTGTTCCATACGGCAGTGGATCGCTAAGGACAGATACATAAAAACAGACAGGTGGATGTATCCTCTCCTCCTCAAAGAGAGCGTGGAAGTGGACTCCGTAGAGACCTGACAAACAAGCAAAGCCAAATACTGTGCTCTAAATTAATAAGTCCGTTTAAATTGTTTACTCCATATATGATATTATAAAGTATTTTCCTCTTTTATTTTATTTTGGTGGACAAAAAAGTTATAGTTATTATTGTGATATCTAATATTTACTCCTTATTAAATTCTTATATCTAATGTATAGAATTAAATATGATTATATTAAATGCAATATAATTATAAAACCCGTCAGCCATTCTTATTTGTAGATTAATCTATATTAATTTTAAATATAACATTTTTAATTAAATTTGTTAGTTCATTATCATTTATATTATTTATAATGAAATTGGTAAATGTTACGACAATTTGGGCGATTTGACTACATCAATTTAATATACAACGTTATTAACTAAGATGAAATATGGTTTTTTTATATTATTTTATTTCACAATAGATTATAGTATCGGGTCAATTATTATTTTTATATATATTTTAATGTTTGGTTAAGATTCTAAAATAAAAAATTTACACTAATGTCGCGACTATTTATCTATTTATTGTCCACATTTCACCACTATTTTCTCTTATTTTAAAATTTAAGAGTTGTTTAATTGAATTCCAATGGCATGGATAACCATCCAAGTTTATACTAATAAATATTGTTAATTCTGTATACTCGATCAATACCACAATTTAAAATATGTAGATTTTTATATAAGAATGTTTCATTTTTGTCTCCAACTAACACGTGATCTAACAATTATCTTGAGAGAGTTCCGGTGGATGGAATGGTTGAGTGAGATGACCCCATCCCTACAAGCCAAAGGACAGCTCTTGTTTTTGTCCAAATGTGATGGGTCTAAGGACAGTATTCATGACTGGGTACATAGTTTGTTCTTGTTGGACTTTGTGTGACACTTGTAGCTTAGGATTTTAAGCTGGAAATCAAATAGGCATCAACATTCCAAACACAAAATCGGTTTAAATTTTAAAGATAAACAGATAAAGATCCTTAGGACTGCAACACCCAATGCTCTGCAAACCATGTACGAAAAGATACCAATTTGTCAAATCCACCAGACCTGCCCTTTACTGACTCTGTGATTAAAGCAAAATGAAAAAAAAAACCCAAACCAAAACCATGGCTGCAATAAAGAGATGATACCCATTTTGGTTACCTGACCTCCGCTTGCTCCGCTCTCTCTGCCCTTCGTAAACTCCCTTTAGATTTAGCAACCTTCTGTAATTGGAGAGAGAGAGTGCCAAAAGCGATTGAAAGTAGCCAATAATGTTTCCATTCTCTTTGGCATTAATGGGAAATTGGGTGCTTTTAGAACAGCAAATGCGTCATTAGAGAAGACCCACCTGGTTTCAATTTGTAATTCTTTTTTGAATTTTTTTATCTCAGTTTTGTTTTGTTGGAGACTTTGGAGAAAGACGGAAACGAACCATTCCTTATAAGAAAGTGAAAATTTCTCCTCAGACAGTTTTAAAAATTGTGAGTAAAGTTCAAATGGAACAATATCGGTTAGTGGTGGGTGAGCCAGACATTGGCCGTGTGCCAGTAAAGAGGCTGAGTCCGAAAGGGTGGACATGAGTCAATGTGCTAGCAAGGACGCTAGACCCAAAAGAAATGGATTGGGGAGGATCCGGGCCCTATAGGGGATGCTCTTCCCTGTCTCTACTTTGAAGGGGAAGCCCAAAAAGAAAGCTATTCGGGGTATGTTCTTCTTGTCATTGTGCATTTTAAAAATGTTGTGAGAAAACTTAAAACTAAAGCGCAGGCTGGGACATTTTCTCTCTTAGTTTTTGAGAAATTTTCGTTCTTTTTGTTTGTTTCATATGCACAAAGACTGGGAGAGCATAAGCATTGTTCATTTCCTTCTATGAACTATGCAAAACTTAGCTCTATCATGTATATCATTGAGTGGGAAAACCAAATCAGGAGCTTATTTTGTCTCCAATGATTGAGTTGCTTTGCTAAAACACAATAAGCTTCTGCATAAGTAGAGGGAGATGACTATGGAAGTTACTTCTGAATCTCAGCAACATTCTCTCTACCACCACCAAAGCCAGCCAACTCCAGCAATAGCTATCTCCAACACCATGTCAAATAGCTTCTCAGCTTCCCAGCACTACAATGGTGATTTTCTGTCTCCCCTGTCTGTAATGCCGCTCAAGTCAGATGGGTCTCTTTGTATCATGGACTCAATCAGCAGATCACAAACTCCAGGTCTATTTCTTTCTTCTTATGTCAAATCTTTACTCTGATGAAGCTGTTTTAACCCAAAGTTCATACCGTTTGATGCTTAGAAACATTGCCAAACATCTCCCCAAAACTTGAGGACTTTCTTGGTGGTGCAACTCATGGAAGAGAGACGGCCACAGCTCTAAGCTTAGACAGCAGATATTACAATCAAAATCCTGAGGCTAACTCTGAGAGACAACAAAGTATTCTTCTTCATTCTCAGCGATACTATTCAGGAATGTTCCATTATCCTGCTGAGGATGTCAACAAGGAGTCTCATATTGCAAGTTATTGCTCTGAAATTCGACAAGATATGGAGCAGCGCATCAATGGCTGCTTTGGAGGAGGGAGGAATTGCCAAGACTTGCAGACACTTAGCTTGTCCATGAGCCCTGGCTCTCAGTCTAGTTGTGTTACTACACCAAGCCAAATTTCTCAATCTGGACAAGCCACCATGGAGACAAAGAAAAGGGCTTTGGCTGATCGAAAGCAGCCGGTCCATCGGAAGTCGTTCGACACGTTCGGACAAAGAACTTCACAGTATAGAGGTGTTACAAGGTTGTTCTAAAGTTTCTAATGTTATGCTTGTTTTAGTATAAATCATTTTGAGTTGGTTTAGTGAAATTTTGGTAGTTCTTTGTTATCAGACATAGATGGACCGGTAGATATGAGGCTCATTTGTGGGACAATAGTTGTAAGAAGGAAGGTCAAACCAGGAAAGGGAGACAAGGTTACTCAGATTTTAGACCATTTCCTTGTTGCTTGTCATGTTCCTCCAATGTTTTTGTCTAACTTCAAACCATTTCCTTGTTGCTTGTCATGATCAACTTCCTTATGGATGCTGTCGAATTCAGTTTATCTCGGTAAGCGTTTGTCGAAAAACGTTGCGTTAGGAAGTCAATTACATGGAAGTTTATTGGTAGTTAATTTGAATTTCAGGTGGCTATGATATGGAGGAGAAAGCAGCAAGAGCCTATGATCTTGCAGCTCTCAAGTACTGGGGACCCTCCACACACTTAAACTTCCCAGTATGATATGATTATAGCGTTATTGTCCAGTTATCGTCTTTTGAATTCTTCTGACAATGGTGTTTTTACAGTTGAAGAACTATGAACTTCAAATTGAAGAAATGATGAACATGAACCGCCAAGAATATGTCGCGCACCTGAGAAGGTACTCGAAAAAGTTCGACCTTGTTTCATTTTGTTGTCATACCGTTTGCTCTTCGTATTTCTGTGAGATCCCACATTGGTTCGAGAGGGGAACGAAACATTCTTTATAAGGGTGTGGAAACCTCTCCCTAACCGACGCGTTTTAAAACCTTGAGGGAAAGCCCAAATAACATATGCTAGCAGTGGGCTTAGACTATTACAAATGGTATTAGAGCTAGACGCCGGACAGTGTGCCAGCGAGGACACTGAACTCCTAAAGGGAGTGGATTTTGAGATCCCATATCAGTTGAAGAGGGGAACGAAACATATTTTTATAAGGGTGTGGAAACCTCCCCTAACAGTCGAGCTTTAAAACTTTGAGGGGAAGCCTCTAGAGGAAAATATCTGCTAACGGTGGCTTAGGCTGTTACATTTTTATGGTAGATGGTCTCATTTTTCTGGTTTTTGGTTTGCAGGAAAAGCAGTGGATTCTCGAGGGGAGCTTCCATATACAGAGGAGTAACTAGGTGTGTTTGTAAGATTCAATCAATGTTCTACTTTTTTTTCTTTCTACTTAATATTGTGAGACCCCATATCGATTGGAGAGGGGAACAAAACATTTCTTATAAGGGTGTGGAAACCTCTCTCTAAACCATAAGGCTGACAGCAATACATAACAAACCAAATTGGACAACATCTGTTAATGGTGAGCTTGAGCTATTACATTAATATCGCCGCATTTTGTTTACTAGATCAGTCTTTTGACTGCTTTTTCAGACATCATCAGAATGGGAGATGGCAAGCTCGGATTGGAAGAGTCGCGGGGAACAAAGACCTTTATCTTGGAACATTTGGTTTGTGGAAGTTTCAAGCCGTTAAATTTAGACACTTTTCATATTATGTCCTGAATCTTTAGCTGTGTTCTTTGCTAGCTATGAGTCTATAACACTTGACCAATCCAATTTTGTTAGCTTAGTTATCATCTATCCTTTGCGTTATAATGATGTCCAGGCACACAAGAGGAAGCTGCAGAAGCATATGACATAGCAGCTATCAAGTTCCGTGGCATAAACGCCGTGACAAACTTCGACACTTCAAGGTACGACGTAGAAAGGATCATGGCAAGCAGTAGCCTCCTTTCAGGAGAATTTGCCAGACGAAATAGAGAGCACAAACCAACCAATGCCATCAAACATGAAGAACCAAAGCAGAACATCCCTCGAACCGATCCCGCGGAAGTATACAACAACAATTTAGATTGGAGGACGGTATTCCACGACAACCTGCTGCTGGATCCAAGCGCAAGCATTGAATCCACAGACCAAAAGTCCATGGCCTCGAGCGGCGGATACCTGAATAATCTGATCGGAGTCGTCGTCGAAACTGAAGGTTCAAGCAAGTACAAGGCTCACTTCTCCAATGCTTCATCTGTGGTGAGCAGCTTGAGCAGCTCAAGGGAAACTAGTCCTGACAAGCCAAATGGCTCCTCCTGGTTCCATTTGGAAGCAATGGAAGAAGTATATGGCTCCCATCACCACCGCAAATGAGGCCAGCTCCTATTTCTTTGCCTGTTGTGTCAACTGTTGTTTGGAATGATGCCTAAGACAAAGCTTCGTTCCATGTCCTCTCTTCATTGTTAAAAAAACATGTAATGAACTGTCAGAACTGCACTCACGAACACAAGAATCTAATCCAAATCCAATCCACCTTGTTTTCCTCGAATCTTTTGGCTCCAAATTCTAAGCAGGCGGGAAAAAATAATTCATTCAAGCAATGCAACATAATAATTGAGTGTGCTTTTCATTATTTCTTTTGAATGGGATGTACAAATCCATCTCACAGCCATTGCCAATAATGCAACCAGGCCATGGCCTTGACCAAAGCCTCATTTTCATTATTTCATTATTTCATGTTCTTAGAAGACACGTTTTTTAAAACTGTAAAGCTGATGATGATACGTATCATGCAAATTTGCTAGTTGTGGACTTGAATTGTTACAAATATTGGAGCCAAATGTCGAGAGGTATGCCTGCAAGGACGTTGGTCTCCAAGGGAGGTGGATTGTGAGATCCTGCGTCGGTTGGAGAGTGGAATGGAACATTCTTTATAAAAATGTGGAAATCTATTCCTAGCATGCACGTTTTAAAACTGTGATGCTGACAGTAATACGTAACGGGCTAAAATGGACAATATCTACTAGTGGTGGCTTAGGGTAATACACTCTTAGTCTACAGGCCCATCATTATCGCCATTCCAACTTTGTTTCTTAGTTAAAGGCGACACAACGCCACCACTTTTACTGTTGTTTATCAAACAAACGAAGAAGAGTTCAACTAATTCTGGAAATTGACAGCAAATTTTCTTTAAAGAAAGAGACAACTGGTTTGCATAATAAGGTGTATGTATGTGTGTGCGCTGTTATAAGCAAAAAATGGAGGGAGATTCTTGGGTCTTTGAAATTCCAGTTTTGCCATAATTTGATGGATTATTGGAGGAATGGGGTATCACTATTTTGCTTTCTTTGTGTAAACACTAAACAAATGTCAAGTGGGTCTCATTGGTGGGGTTCCCACGTGTGTAACCCCTATTTCTGCACGAGTCACCAACTGCCATCTCCATTATTTTAAAACTCAAATATTTTTTTTAGGATGTTTGATATAAGTAGTAAAAAATTTAATTTTTTTAGGTTAAATTAATACAAATATATGTAATTTACTTCAAAAAAAAAAAAAAAAACCTTTAAAACTTTATAAAGTTTAAAAATATCCTTTATTCTTGGATTTAAAAAATACTCATAAAATTTTAAAATAACACTAACACTATTTACGTTTAACAAAATAATAATAATAATAATCATCTATCAACCTATTTGATAATGAATAGTTATTAAATTATTAGGGTTGAATGAGCTAATCCAATAAGCGACACTTTGATCTAAGGAGTGAAGCTCGAGAATTGGGCTATGGAATTACCTATTGGAAAAGTCACATTGGGCTTGGGCCAATGACGATTTTGGGCCTATAGTTCTTTGGGCCAGCCCAAATTAAGGTGACTAAGTGTGTGGCGTTTGTTTTGATGGGCAACTTTTTTTTTTTTTTTTTTTTTTTTTTTTTTTTTTTTTTTTTTTTTACTTTTTAGAGAGAGAGAGTGAGAGATGGGGTTGCTTTCTGTAAAGAAAAGGAAAAGAGAAAAACTTTCTTCAAAAGTGTGATGGAATGAAGCATCAAGCATGGGCGGAGATTAGCTTTGAAAAGTAACATGTTTTAAAACAAAGTTCCATTCCTTAATTAATTTATTATTTTAAACTTTTGATTTAGGGCCATTAATTTCAATCTCGTGTATTCCAATTTTTTAATTATATATTTGTATTATTTACTCTTATTCTCAATCATCTTTTACTCAAACAAAGTATACCATAGAGTCTCTCCTAAGCCCAATAGAATCTTCAAGCAGCCTCCTCTTAACCGAGACTTGACTCTTTTTCTCTCAAGTTCTCAAATAAAATACATCATTTGTTCGACAATTGAGTTATTTTTACTGCACATTTTATGACATGACTCTGATAACATGTTAAGAATTACGACTCCTTGCAATAATATGATATTGTCTACTTTTGAGTATAAATTTTCATGACTTTACTTCAGGTTTTTTTAAAATGGTTCGTAACAATAAAGTTGTATTCCTTACTTATAAATTTACTATTGGTATAGAAACGAGGAATGATGTGAAGTGAGAAGGGAGAGTGATAAGTTTGATGTAGCATCACAATCAATCATGCATCTTCTTTATAATACTATTGACTAACCACTCCTACTTCAGCTGGGTCCTCACATCAACCGAGAAATATACATAATATAATATTATATATAGAGGAATAGATTTAGGAAGCACAGTGGGTGGTGTTGACCAGAGGTTTGACTGGGGGTGGGTGGGTGGCTGGCGATTGGCTGTGACTAGAAAGAAGATGCAGACAGACGGGAAGAGTATAGCTGGAAATGGAAGAGCAGGACAAGCAAGTAAATTTTGATGATTAGATTCCAATATTCCATATGTTTCTAACCCCAAAGCACTCTTAATCAAAACAAAACAAAACAAAACAAACCAAATCACAGGCTTACAGCTGTTTCTATCATTAAATAAGTTTAAACCTCCTTTTTCCTTTTTTTTCTACTCCAAATTGGCTCATTCTTACCATTTCATTCTTAATCTAACGGAACAGAAATGGAAGAACCAAGCTCCGGGGCTTCTACACAAGAGCACACACTAATCTTGATCAGATTATGATACTCATTCACATTCAGACCTCCAATTTTAATACCCTGTTTCTTGGTTCTAGCTACCCGGATTGATATCTCCAAACCCTGTGTCTGCTACTCACCTTTGTTCTTCTTGTGTTCTTCCTGTTTTAAGCAAAAACAAAAGGAGGCTTCTCAAATCAATCATATTTGGGCATTTGATTGGATGGAGAACTTGGAAAATGTTTTTCTTCCATACCCAAAAGTGAAAAGGGAATCTGCTTTCCTTTTACTGCATTCATGAGCTGTTTCATAGCTAATCTCATTGTTTCTTCTCCACTTTATACTCTCAAAGCTTCACTTTCTTGTGTTAGCCCCCCAAATATATATATATATTTTTTGCTTCCCTTTCCTTTTTGCATTTGAACGCAGCGGAACAGAGCAAGCTTCTTCTACACCTTCATGGGGATGCTGCTTTTACTTTAACGCCTTATAAAGCTGCAAACCCTACTACATTTTGTTCTTTGTTTACACTCGCAAGATATCACCCTCCCCCCCAACTCTGGTCAAAACCGCCTTTCCTCTTTCATTTTTTTTTTTTAAGGTTTTGTTTTCCCCTCTTTGGAAGTAAGGTTAGCTCGTGAAATGGGTGATCTCGAAAACGACGAAATGGGTTTTCGAAATTCAAACGAGGGGTTACGGAATTGTTCATCTTCCGACAAAATTCCAGGAACAATGGCGATGGGGTCTTTCTTTGGGTCTGGTTGGGATCCAATGGTTTCTTCCCATGGCGAATTTTCAAATTCTTTTCCTGTTGTCTTGGAGAGCCATGGAGGGAGTGGGACGACACAGGGTGTTCATTATCCGACAGATTTGGGGTTTGGCAATGGGAATTATTCCGACATGTTTGGTTCTTTTGGTGTTGCCGGGCAGATTCTTGGTGGGTGTTCTTCCAATTACAGAAATGGAGGAACCACGGAGAAGTTATTACCACTATCAGGTGAAGAAACTGCTGCAGGATCACCAAATGGTAAACTCAGAAAACGAGCCCTTGACTCCACTTTCCCATTTAGCCAACCAAACAAGGTAACATTGATGAATCTCTAATCATTTATCTCTCTTGTTCATCATTTTAATTGCAAATCATGCCATTGACCAGAAATCTGAAGTGAAATTGAAGAAGGATGTTTCTGGAGACAGTTCCAGTACACAGGAAGAGAAGAACGCAGAAATGGAGCAGAATTTAGGTGGTAAGGCAACTGGAAAACAAGCTAAAGAGAAGAACAATGATAGCACAGAAGCTCCCAAGGAGAATTACATTCATGTGCGAGCTAGAAGAGGGCAAGCCACAAACAGCCATAGCCTTGCTGAGAGGGTAACTTTCTATGAACTTTTGAAGTAAAATGTTGTTGTTTAGTTGTGTTAGACGTTTGAAACACTTTGGCCAATAGGTGAGGAGGGAGAAGATTAGTGAGCGGATGAGATTGCTTCAAGAGCTTGTTCCTGGATGCAATAAGGTAGCTTGGTTCAATTGATTTTGTGAGTTTCTTTGCCTGTGGGATCTTGATTTATACTCGAACTCGGATTGGTTTTTGTCTCTTAGATTACTGGAAAGGCTGTTATGCTTGATGAGATTATCAACTATGTTCAGTCACTGCAACAGCAGGTTGAGGTATGTGTTTAACATTCACACAAGTTTGGATGGATTGAATATATCTTCATTTGCAGTATTACTGTTAGGTAATATGTGAGATTCCATGTCAGTTGGAAGGGAACAAAGTATTCCTTATAAAGGTGTGGAAATCTCTAGTAGACGCGTGTCAAGATCTTGAGGAGAAGTCCCAAAGGAAAAACCCAAATGAGACATTATCTGTTAGTAGTGGGTTTAAACGGTTACAAATGGTATTAGAGTCAGACACTGGGCGGTGTGCCAGCGAGGACACTGGGCTTCAAGGGGGGTGGATTGTGAGATCCCACGTCAGTTAGAGAGGAGAACAAAACATTCCTTATAAGCGCGTGAAAACCTCTCCCTAGTACTCGCGTTTCACAACCTTGAGGAGAAGCATGAAGGGAAAACCCAAAAAGAACAATATTTACCAGGGATGGGCTTAAGCTATTAGAAATAGTATTAGAGCTAGATACCAGGCGGTGTGCCAGCGAGGACATTGGGCCCCCAAGGGAGAGTGGATTATGAGAACCCACATCGGTTGGAGAGGATGAAGCATTTCTTATAAGGGTGTGGAAACCTCTCTCTAGTAAACGTGTTTCAAAACCTTGAGGGAAAGCCCGAAAGGGAAAGCCAAAGACGACAATATCTACTTGTGGTAGGTTTAAACCGTTACATAATCTCAAATGAAGTTGTGTGATTATACTTTTCTGCAGTTTTTGTCAATGAAACTTGCTACTGTCAACCCAGACGTGAACGTCGATATCGAAAGGATTTTATCCAATGATGTAAGTTCATAGTCAGTCTTGGATGCTAAGAATGTTAAGAATGTGTAAGATTTAGTCTACAAACCATTTTGAATTGGTATAACTTTTGTTTTGAGTAGATTTTCCACGCACGAGGCAGCATCGGAACTGTTCTTGGATATGATCCCGGGTTGAGCGCGGTTTCCCCGGTCCCTCCTCACCGAATATTTCAGCTCCAGGGGACGATGTCAAATATGCCAACCAACACCACATTCACACAGTTTCCTCCTTTGCCTCAGGTAGCTAACTTGGTAATCCTCTGAACGATGATGATGCAATTCTGTTGTTTTGTGTTCAACAACATTAATCGAAACGCATTTACGCACAGACCGTGTTAGAAAGCGATATTCAAAGTCTTCTTCAAATGGGATTCGACTCGAGTTCGGGCACTCACAATTTGGAACCAAATGGTATTCATTCTTCTTCATGATCCAATAAATTTGCATTGTGAAGCTCCAAAGGTACAGATGGTTGATCTATAATTCATCTGGCAATGACAGGGCGGTTTAAACCAGAGCGCTAACTTCTTGCAAAGGGCGGTTGAGATGTTTTCTAGTTGACAGAGAAAAAAAAAAAGCATTAAAATCTGTATAGGATTCAGTTTCTAACTATTGTTCTTCGAATTTTAGCAGAAGAAGATGATTAATAGCGCAGCAGATAAGGAATGTAAATTTAGATTTTGTGGGCGAGGCTGATTACAATTGGTTTGAATTTCATCCTTGTATGACCAACAAAGCAGAAGCTTGTTTTTTGCCTTAATTATATCATATTTTCAATTCAAACATCCATTTTATTAATGTTGTTCAAATTCTCGTACATAAATTAAATTTTAATTTAAAAATTAAAAAATTAGATACTTGAAAGACCAACTTTAAAATATGATTAAAAATAAAATTACTATATATCTTTAGATCTCATGAATCTAATTTCTTCGAAATACGACATTTTATTAATCTAATTTCTTAAAAAATGATGCAATAATAAGATTCACATTTGCACTTAATGTGACTCAATAATTTATGTATTGGCTTTTTTATTGTTTCAATTATTGTTGAAATTGAATTAATTGGCCACACGAACTAAATAATTAAAATTAAAAAAAAAAAAAAAAAAAACTTCTGTTTTCCGTCTATTATTTTGTTTGTTTTATTTTCCTTTTTTAAGGAAATTTTCTTCTTTTTTTAGTTCAATTAACAGGCTGGATAAATTTGTTACTATATTCTGTCCTCACACTAACAACTTTTTTCTTTATATATTTTGGAAATTAACTGGATGAGTTAATGGATGGGATAAAATTTAATTACAATATTACTTTGGTAAGAAAGTTGGGTCATTTTTTAAGCTTCATTCTGTTCTTTAAAATTTTTCGTGTTAGTTTTTGTTCTTTAAAATTTTTAAAGAACTCCATATTGGCTAATTAATCGCAAGATCATGGTGTCCTGAGTATGTAATAATCGATGTGGGATTTCAACGTGGAATCTTCCTTCATTTTATTTTATTCTAGGATAATAGATAAATAGATAAATAAAAATATCATATAAAATGATCTTCCTTCATTTTATTTTATTCTAGGATAATCTGTCCTGTGAGATGATATGGGTAATTGAGAAGGACAAGACAAGAGGATGTGTGTGGGGATCGTTCTTGGCACCCCAGGCGGCGGGGGCAACGATGCGATGAATGTGTTGAAGAATTTAAAGAACATAAGCGGCAAGTTCAGCTTTTCTGCGTCTGCCGAACATTATATTTCCAACTGTCATTCGCCTCACCGATTCATTTAGTATAGCAGACAATAATTAAAGATGGTAATAATAATAAATAATCATAACAATAACCGAAAAGCATATCTTCAATGAATTTCATTTGGAGACAGCAAAAGACAGCTTTGAAACTTTTCGGCTCCCCGCCGCGTGTAGTCAGCAAGTCCGCTCCCACAGTCGGGTGTCATTTTTCGAGTTTCAAAAGCACCAATCACGAACGAATAACTCCCAACCCGCCGAAAGCAACAAGAACACAAGAAACTATCATTAAATATGAACCAAATATTTCTGTCAGTTTCATCCAACAGTTGCCTAATATCTCCTTGTTTTGATGTTTTTGATGTTCAATTTTTTGTTCTTACAGAAAGTATCGAAAAACAAACGAATCGAAACAACATTAAAAGAAACAAAAAGAAGACCTACATATAGATACACCGGATGAGCTTCGCCATTTGACATAAGCATCTCTCCAATATTGTCGTTTGTTTGTGTCCATATAATACTCTATTATCTCGACTGTACCGAGTGAAATGGCCTTGACATTCTTCACTACAGGGATTCATTCTCTGATGCCCTGTTGATCCATTGTGGTTGTCTTTTTTTCCCATTTCACCATTGTTTTTCTCTAATGATTTCCTTGTGTTCTTTTCCTACAGAATCCATCTATTTATACAAATCAACCTATCTGTTCGCCGACCAAGTCCAACCCGACCAGCAGGAACGAGATCCCCTGGAACAACAAGAAGTAGAAATGGATTCCTTGTGCAGACAGAAGGCTCCGTGCCGAGGCAGTTAGGAGGAGGAAAGCTAATGCGAGCTCTTTCACGTATATTCGGTTGTGCTTCTTTCGCAAGGAGCCTTTCTGCTCTTGCTTCTCAAATTCTTCCTTCATCTCTTCTAGGTCGGGCGCCGAAGTCCCTCTCTGATGCTTCTGCTCTCTCTCTACCAAGGAGACGAGATCACCCTCCGAGGATCGGCCAGATTTCTTCGTAACAACCCATTCGTAGGCACTACCGAGCTGGAAGAGGCCTGAGATCATGGCATTGAACTTGGTGACTGACATTGTGTTCTCAAAAAGGAGGTAAGGGACAATGAAAGGGAAGGATTTTGGGGCAGGCAGAATGTTTAGAAACGACATCATGGCTGGGATATAGCAGACAACCCAAAAGGGTAGCTCGGCCTCGGGAACGAACATTGTCATCGGGAGAATTATGCAGAAAAGTGTAAACGAATAGAAGGGCAGTATCAATTTTCTGAGCAAAAAGAAGAGGAAGATTAAGTTGAACTTCTTCCATACACTAATCTGCATTGAATCAGTTATATAAGACAAATACATAAGCAATTTGATTAAGAGAAACTCTATAACAAAAGAACAATTGCACGACGACGATACCTTCGATCGAATAATAGCAGGCAGACAAAGGCGAAACAACTGCATTGGGCCAGAATGCCATCTATGTTGTTGTTTTCTATAAGCTTCATAAGATTCTGGTAGCTCACACTGGCACTGATTATGCAGAAATAATAAGTATATTATACTCATGTCATAAACTAGTTACTCATATCATGAACTTAACAAAGATTAGTACCTCGACGTCGTTTAGGAATATGAATTTCCATCCATGAAGATGAGCACGAACGGCGATATCCATGTCCTCGACGGTGGTCCTTTCCAACCACCCACCGGCGTCCTCAAGAGCTTTGATCCTCCACACACCAGCCGTGCCATTGAAGCCAAAGAAGTTGAGGAAGACACTGTTGACTTGCTGCTCTACTTCAAAATGGAAAGCTAAATTGATGTTCTGCAGCCTGGTTAGCAAGTTCTCGTCCCTGTTCACAAAAGACCACCTTGCTTGAACCAACCCCAGCTCTTCATTGTCCTGAGTGCCATTCAAATAGAGAGTTAACAGTGTTCTAAGAACAATCTAATAACTCAGTTCATGGCTTACAAAAACAGCCTAATATACCTTGAAATGAGGAACAGTTCTTTTAAGGAAATCGGGTGTCGGTTGAAAATCAGCGTCGAAAATGGCAACGAATTCGTAGTCTTTGACATAGCTACAATTCATAGCGGATTTGAGGTTGCCAGCCTTGTAACCATCTCGAATGACTCGATGACGATAAACAATGTTGGCACCTTCTTGCTGCCATTTATGAACCTCCTCTTTAATCAGCAATTGGGTAGTTGGATCATCAGAATCATCAAGAACTTGAATCAACAGATTGGTTTTTGGCCAGTCCAAATTGCAGATAGCAGCAATTGATTGCTGATAAACCTGAGAAAAAGCCGCAAATTCAGTTTGTTCAATAAGAACTAAACCAATTACAATGGCAGAAGCAGAAGACATTAAGAACAAAACCTCACCTCTTTTTCATTGCACATGGGGATCTGAACAAGAACCATTGGGAAATAGCCCTTCTCGCCGGATTCAAGGTCTTCATCTCCAGGTTTAAGAACTGGTTGAATTTTCTTGAATCGGATCCAGAAACAACCCAAACATAAGATTAAACGATCCAAGCTTTGACTGATGAACAGTACGACACAGGCATTGGTTAAGAATTGCAGAGGAGGAGCTAAATAATCCACTCGAATCGATACCCACTGAGAGTAAATCCAACCAAAAGCTCCTTTGAAACCCCAAGGTGATGCCCAGAGATAATCCAATTGAAAGTTTGGAGTACCGAAATGCCAGCCCTTGAAGAAGGCCGCCACCTCAAAACCCAACAGAAGCACCGACAGCCATAAAAACACCTTGATACAAGAATAGAATCTCGTTTTCACTGTCGGGTTCTCTTTACCAGTGACGTCATTGTCGGCGTCGGCGTCGTCCTCGTCAGTCCGGCCCGAAGCAACGCGGCGTCTTACAGTGGCGACAAGGTCCACCATTGCAGAGCCAATGGAGGTTAAACAACCGGCGGCCTTGTGGGCCTTGAGGAGGAGGACCCACGTGAGTTGTTTAGCGTTTTTCCCTCGGGCTTTCTCTCTGGTCCGGCCCGTTGGCGACTCACCCGCGATGAGAAAATCATCCTTCGACGGACCCTCGAGCTCAACCATCGACCAATTTGGATTCTCCATCTTAACAACAACAGGGGTTCCTCTGCGAGTGTCTTTTCCCCACCAATCAAACGAGGGCGCCATTTTCGAACGGCGATCTCAAAACCCCAGTTGAAGAAACCCGATTTTCAGACCTCAAAACGCACCCTCCACCTCCTCCTCCCAAACCGATCGAGAAATGGAAAAAGACCCACAAAACAAAACAAAAAATGGGCAACAAAATGGCTATGGCCCTGATCTCAATGTGGGAGAAAGCGCAAAGAGAGAAGAAAAAAAATACTTGGAAAGAAGGAAAGTAGACGCGTGGTGAAGAATGCAGCAGTGGCCTTCTCTAAATCATTGCGACATTCGGTGAGAACTTATACGAGAGAAGTATCCAAAGGAGGAAGAATGAGATGAAGCCGAGATGTGTCCAAATGAGCTTCCATTCATTAACAGCTTGCACAAAAGGTCGCGAAGGTAACAAGAAGGAACACAACGATGGGCGCGCGAGGGATTCAGAAATGGAATGGTTACAGCTCAGCACGTCTTTGAATTTTGATAAGAATTTTCAGAAATTCAAAAAAAAAAAAAAAAAGGAACCCAGTGCACGTTCTTTCAAGTCAAATCATAAACCTTATGAAAACGATCTGTTTTACTGGGATGAGAAAGCGGGAATCAAAAAATTCCAGAGATCTTGTTTCTTTCTTCAAATCCCCATCTCATTAAACTCCAAAAAAATTATTCGCAAATGGCAGATTGAATTATATCACGGAGTTTCCCCCCTATAAGCATTTGAGGAATATTAAATTATTTGTTCTAAATAAATAATACAATTCAATTATTTGTTCACAATATTAAAACCACTATTCAATTAACCCTCCTCCTCAAACATCCAACACAAAGAACACGAGAAAAGTAAATACTTCACTGTAATTACTTCCTTTTATTTACTTTTACAGTGAGAAAGAATACTTACAGAGATACGCGAGCAATTACAGCCTACAGGGACAGGGATTCTTTGCGACCCATTTTTATGTTCTAGGGTGGCCCTCTTCGCTTGTTGATAAATCAAAAGGACTAACCTTTTATCCTTTTCAATTTGGTTCTTTATCGTAAAAACGTCGAATTTACCATCTAGCCCTCACCCACAGCGCGTCCTATACAAGTGGATAATGCTGTAAAATTTATTTCATTTGAGTATTAACTCGTTCACAGAGGATCACACGCCAGCACTGCAGCTGCAGAGGCAGCTGTAATGTTTTCGAATATATTCGACTTTCCTAATTTGCCCTCTTACCAGATTAATGCACCGACAACTTTTAGTCAAACTGGTGCAAACCGAAATGAGGGTATTATCGGGATTTCAATAAAAAAGAATCACGATAATAATAAAGGTTCTACTTTTTTGTAATATTAAATTACAAAATAATATATATGTATATACACCATAACTTTACTGATTTGTTTATATATATATTTATATTAAGTCTCAATTTTAGATCAAACTTGAGACTTAAAATATTGGCAATATTTGAGTCCCACTTTTTATTTAATACTCTAATTTATTTATATTTTAATTTCAAATTTAAAGTATTAATTATACGAACTAAATTAATAAAATGTTCTTAAAATTTGCACTCCTTAAGCTTCAAATAAAATTTTAAAAATACCCATGCTTGCGGTACTCCCGCGACTCGGGACCAGGCAGCCTAAAGTGGGATCGCATCAGACTTTGTCTTAAGATCCAACTGATGGAAAGGAAAAGGTTGATGTGCGTCTGAGATGTGTTTTCACAAGCGGTATCGCGAGAATTCGTACTTATAGGATATACTGGAACATTCTCCAATCTAACCTTACAAACTCAGTAATCCTTTCACATTGGAAAAGTAAGAGCGGCTTCATGATAAGGGGTAAAACCGACATTTAACTGCAAAAATATTCAAATTTTGAAGAGGCTGTTTTGAACCAAACAAATTTTTAAAAACGATTCCGTTATGTTTGGTAAATTACTATTTTACTCCCTCAATTTTGATTTTACTTTCCTTCTCATAATTTCATTATTTCAAGAATTTGAAACTATTCCATTTAAAATTATTTTGTTAAAAAAAATTGTGTATTTATCCAACAATACCGTTACCACAAATATCTGAATACTTTACATATGAGAGTAATCTACATTATTCATTTTTATACAATAACTTATATATTAATTTAATATAATTTGAGTTACGTTATTATTAACTTAAAATTTTATCTTTATATAGATTTTAGTTTGTAAGTATTATAGTTTAAAATACTATTTGGGTCATTGTATTTTCCTCTAATTTCAATCCATTTTAAATTTAGTTCTTATGGTTTTAATAAATCTTAAAATTTAATTTTAAGAAAAATGGTTAAATAATAATGACGGTTTAGTGTAAGAAAAAAAAACACGTTCATAAATATATTTTTACCGCATTATAAATGGATACACATAGATACTAGTTTTTTTTTTTTTTTTTTTTTTTTTTTTTTTTTTTTTTTTTTTTTTTTTTTTTTTTTTTTTTTTTTTTTTTTTTTTTTTTTTTTTTTTTTTTTTT